ACGTGCTTGAAGAACGGTGGAGGAGCAGCTGCACAGTGGCCGCCCCAGCCACGTCCCCTCCCCTGTATTTTGCCTATAAAAGCAAGGGAGACAGCAAGTGAAAAAAAGAGCCAGACACGAAGAGAGGGAGAAAAAGAAAGAGAGAAGGAAACCAAACACGAGAGAGAGGAGAAGAGAAAACAGAGAGCAAAAAAACAAAAAAAAAACAGAGAAGAAGAAGGAGAAAATTGTGAAAAACCGAGGAGAGAAAGAGAAGAAAAACACAGCAAAACACCGACCACCGTGTCTCTGCCGCCAGCAACACCGCCCCGACACCAATCCCAGGTAATCTCCGGTTACCCTATCTCTTTATTCTTTCGGTCTGCATTAGCATGCAGAACGTGAATTAATTCACATTCTGCAGCAAATGAGGGGGGGCCGGGTCCGGCCCAACCCACTAATCTGGGCTGAGTCCGACCCATTTCTTTAAAACTTAGCTGGTTACTGCACACGGGTCATTGTTTGTACAGTAACCAACCCATTTGGTTTTGGGCCGAGTCCGGCCCATTTCTTTAAAACTTAGCTGGTCACTGTACACGGGTCACTGTTTGTGCAGTAACCAACCCATTTGGTTTTGGGCTGGGTCCGGCCCATTAAAAAAATAATTAATTTTTTTTATATTTTTTATATATTTTTTTCCTTTTTATTATTTATGCTTTTTTACTTAGTATTGGTCTATATTTTATGTCAAAAAAAAAATACAAATATGGTATTAAAAATACCCGAGTTTTTTTTATCAACTAAAAAATAATTTTAAAATAAAAAATATATATTTTTATGCATACGGCCAAGTGTCTCAAAGCTACAAAAATAAAAAAAAATCATATTGTATTTTTCATACATCAAAAATAATATTTTAGCATGCATTTTGGCTTTAATAATCAGTTTATTAAAGTCAAGAGAACATTGGCCAAAATATCAAAAATAATAAGAAATTTTTTTGTTTTGTTTAGTATCAGGGATTATGAGGTTATACGTAACACGTATTCTTGATTTTAAAAGTTTATTTGGTTTTACTAACGATATAGAACAACTAGGTTTTACCCGATAAGATAAAGATCTCCTTACAAAGGAGGACTTTTCTTAAACCTTAGATACACATATAATTAGATACCACAACATGATTTCATATTTTATCAGACAAAACAATGCAGTCTACCTTAGGTAGGGCGTAGTTGGGGTGCTAATACCTTCTCTTTACGCAACCAGTCTCCGTACCCGATCTCTAAAGACCAGTTAGGGTTCCTAATTACCAGAATATTAAGTGGCGACTCCCATTCAATTTTTTCACTGATAAGAGACAAGAATTCCTTATCTCTTCATATCTTGCTAGAAATACACTACATCTCATCGTTAGCATGGATGGTGGATGATTGTCGCGATACCACACATGCAACATCTATAATGCTATGTTGTGAATGAGTGGTTATAGTATGAAGAGCTGAAGTAGAGAAATTGGGAATAAACTTGTTTGTTGAAGAGTGAGAGGCATCACGGCAGAGAGTTTGTGTAGCTTTATGTAGAGTATGTTGTGAATGAGTAACCATAGAGTGAGAAGCTAAACTTGGTTGTTCCTGTTACTGCTGAGTAGTTAAGGTGTGGTGATCGGAGGGAACAGGAATAAAATATCCTGTTGCAGATGGGAAGTATCGTGACAAAGATTGTGTGAAATTGTAAAGAAATCAAGCATTATCAACAAAAAATGAAAAGCAAAAGAAATAGCACCGTTTAATTGTAAAGAAATCAAGCATGATGAACAAAAAATGAAAACCAAAAGAAATTACACCGTTTATGTGAATATTACAATGGTAAAAAAAAAAAGCAAAAAGAAATATAACGTTCATGAACAGGAAAACACGTGCTATTCACGTTATCATGGTATGGAAATCAATTTCAATGCTAAAATTAAATTGAAAAGACAAGAGATACAAGTGGATCGCTCCACATAATTTGATAAATGGAGTTATTATAAATACACTGACCAACTTTAAGCTGACACCCACTTGTAATCTTTCACAATTATTTATCCTAGTTTTTTTTGTTAACAATATAGGCAAGTAGTGCGGCATAACATGTTTTTTAAAAATTATAGAATTTTTAATTTTAAATTATTTTTTAAAGTATTTTTGAATTGTTACGATGTATTAATATTAAAAATAATTTTTTTAAAATATTATTTTAATATATTTTAAATAAAAAATATTTTTAAAAATAATTTTTATCACACTTTCAAAAAAATATTTATTATTAAAGTGAAAATTAACCACTAATACAATTATCAATGTCTTATTTGGGAACACGATTGGAATTGTATTGACTAATAATTTGAATTTGTTTATCTTAAAATTATTATTTTTTATACTTTGGATCAGTTTGAAGTGGTGATATAAAAAATATTTTTTTAAAAATAAAATAAATATTATTTTGATGAATTTTTAAGTAAAAAATAATTTAAAAAATAATTATTATTATATTCTTAAGCATCATTAAAAAAAATACATTTGTTTTTACGGTAAAAATCATGCTTTAAAAAATTTTAAAATTTATTTTTTTGTTTAAAAATATTTTTTTTATGTTTTTGGATTGATATAATAATGTAAAAAATAATTTTTTTTAAAAATATATTTATTTTAATAGAATTCTAAATAAAAATATTTTGAAAAATAATTGATATTACACTTCTAATCATCATCTAAGAATGTGTTTATTTTTAAGGTAGTAATTATATTTCATAAAATTTTTAAAAAAATTATTTCAAGTTTTTTTATATATTTTTAAATAATTTTTATATGATATTTTTTAATATATATATATATTTATATATTCTTTTATAAGAACTTTTGTTTTAGAAAAGCAAATATAAAACGCTACCTAATGAGATAAGGTCAGACAGCGAACCAATCACCGCCTACTCCCAAATCAGTTGGCTCGCCTACTTTTATCGCAAAAGTCCATATCCTCCAATGACAACCCGCCCCCACGCACTATCCTCTACATTTCAAATTTTGGTACGCCCTGTAGCCGTTACATCGCTCTCTCCCTTCGCTCCACCTCTAGGGTTTCTCTACCTCAGCAGTCCCCATGCCCTTCCTCCGACATCGCCGCCTCCGCTGCTACTCTCTCCTCCTCATCCACCGCAAATTCCTCTCCACAACTTCCTCACAGCCATTGTACCTCCTACTCTCCTTCGCAACATACATGATATGGGGCTCCAACACTTCCTCGGCAAAACCTTAATTTCCACTGGCCTCGCCTCTCCCTTCCTCCTCTCTCCCTTCACCAGCAACAAACCCCGCAAATTCCTTTAACTCAAACCAATCCAAACTGGTTTCCCTTCCGATTCCCATTTCGTCTTTTCTAAACTCGCCTCCCCCTCTTCACACCACTCCTCTGCTCTCTCTCTCTCTCTTTGCCCCAAATCCCGTCCTCAATTCATCCTTCTTTGTTGCTAATTCCCTCTTGTGCGACGAATCTAAGACCAAGGTTCAGAATTTAGGGATTTATAATTTGAATTTTAGTGAGGAGAGCAGATTTGTGAAAGATGGGTTTCATGTGGTTTCGGAGTTAGTTTGTGAAACCTTGTATGCATGGAAGGGGGCTGTTTCGCCGCACTTGGAGGCAGAGAAGGAGAATGAAGTAGTGGAGGATTCTTTAGTGCTGGATACTTTAGAGAAGTCCTTGGGAAAAGTAGAGATTAGAAAGGAGGGAATGGGTGTTTTTTGTGTGGTTAAGACTGCTGGTGGGGTTGCAAGTCCGGTTCCGTCTGGGACCTTGCAATGCGACTTGTACCGGTATGTGGTCATTTGTCTCCTGTTATTGAATGTTAATTGTTTATTGCTGGTTATAGGATTACCTCACATTTGGTTATTAATTTGGGATTCAGAATTTTGTTCGATGTTTTACAAGATGTCCTTGATTCTATGTTGACTTCTAATGAAACTTGTGATTGAAGGCTGCACTTTCTTGATTTTATTTTTACATGTTAATCTTACTCACCAGTAAAGCAAACTTGTGGGCTTTTTTTTCTATTTGTTCCATAAAGATCTAAGGTAACCTTGAGAATTGGTTTGGTAGTAATGTAACTAAACGAAAGATCTAAGGTAACCTTGAGAACTGGTTTGGTAGTAATGTAACTAAACGAGAGGTGGAAAATAGCAAAACAATCATAGCAATGAAACTAAGCACTTGCTACGCTGCTTTTCTAAGGGAGAGGGAGTAAGATCTCGAATTCAAGCCCTGCTGTTACCGACCAAAGAACCATAAAAAGAAGTACCCAACAACAAGTTGGCAGTGAATATGAATATCTTGCTTGATGATTGTGCCTGTTCTCTGCCTAGGAACCTGAATGTATGTTATACTTGTTCATTTGAGGTCCGTGCTTTTGAAAAAAGTAACAAGAATTTAAGTTTTTGGCATATGGTATGTGCATTTGGTGTATCACAGAGAATACGTGATAGGATGGGAGGAATGAAAAGAATTTATATAAGTAACCATTCCATTTTGGCAGTTGAATTGTGCATCTTTTTAATCTTACAGGATACATGGAAGAACAGCATGTAGGAACTGAATTTTTGAAGTCAAACAAACTAATTTGGGACTAAAACTTAGTCGAGTTGATTGTGCTCCTTTTTTGTCCCACAGATAATGTGAACTAGATAGGACATGATTAAAGGAAGCTTTTTTTTCCCCTTCTTTCTGTCTGTTCCTTTTGAGTTTCTTGTTACATGGAAGAAATGAACCAGGTTTAGTAAGATCTGTGCATTTTGTGGAAATGAATTTAGCACTTATGGTATCACTGTGATAACATGGATGCAGAATTGCATATTTCAGTTATCTTGCAAAAGGAAAGCCTTAAATATATTCCAAGTCCAACAGTCACTCAACAGCACTAAAAATGTTGACAGTGGTTTACAAAGATGTATAAAAAATATTACTATTCTCCTTCGTCAATTCATTTCTTTTCCATATATGTTGTCAGGCCTTTTCGCTTACCTGCTGTTCTTATGGGAGATGGGAGGTTAGGTGGTGTTTCTGGAACCATTTCAGCTTACGATAGTACTTTAAAACTTTGAGGGTATGATATTGTTGCTGTTGTTTTAGAAGATCATGGCCTTGTTAATGAGGTGCCATTATTGTTATATTTGCAAAATAGGTAATTTTAATCATTCTTCTTTTGCTAAACTAGATAATTTTAAATCAGTAATTTCTCAACGGCAGTCTTGTTATCAATAATTGAGATATCACTCTGTCTATTTAATTTGTTTTTGTTCCCGTTTCCTCTTGTATTTTCCTAGGCTTCCTGTAATTGTGCTTCCACCTGTGCCACAAGATTTGTTAAATGATTGGTGGAATGGTTTGGTGATTATTAGTGGGATACAAGAGTCTTTCAAAGGTTTAAGGGGCCAAGATAGTGTTGTGTATTAACGAGGCTTAAATGGAAAACAGGAACTTTAGAGAGAGGCTCGAAAGGAAAGAGTAGACAATTTTAATAAGAGAGGATGTTGTGGAGAAAACGGATGTAGAAATACTGAAAAAGATCATGGTTATGTGCTATTATCCAAAAAGGATATGTCTTAAGGGTGCATGGAGAGCACACCAAACTAAGGTGATATAGTGAGAGAAAATGACATTAGAAAGAGAAGCTACTAAGAGAAATGAATGGTAAGAAGTCTTCAAATGAGGTAATGGATGGGCTACTTGATTGTTAGGATTGTGACAAGTGCATAGCATATTGAAAGGCTAGATGGGTGCCACGTGTTTAGAAGGGATATGCGTTTAATATTCTTAGATCTTATTAAGAAATGTTAAGGGTGATCCTGGACCACCCTCATGAGTGCTATTGCAAATCTACCAAGCCAAATATCGAAGCATCCCTATCCCATTCGGCCTAATGGCTAGTCAAGGCCCTGCTACCTTGCCTTTAATTAGCCCTGTGTACCCTGAGCCCTATCAGTTAATCCAAGTAGTGTGCAACTGAATAGGCTTATTGATGTAGGACAAGATGAATAAAATCTCTAAATCAAACCAAGAGAATAGAAATGAAAATCACCAACAAGAGAGACACTTGATCTTGAAGGGATCAAACCAAGAGAGACTCACTTGATTTTTTATTTTGAAGCAATATAAGAGAGACACCCTTACTCTTGAAAGTAAAACACCATTTATTTTATTCAACCCTAAACAATTCAATAATGAATGTGCAGGTAGCACCAAACCAGCTAAAATAGGAAAACCAAGTCAGTCTTAATTCTAGAAGGAAACTAAAATCCTAAATAAATACCAATATTTCTAAATAATAAATTTGAGACTAGTGATACAATATCAAAATTCCTAAATAAACACAAACCAATTCCCATTGTTGTCCTTCATTCTTCTCACTTGTGTAGCTTTATCTGTAAGAAAACTTTTTTTATTATTATTAATATGGGTGTTCAAGCCAACTTGCACATACTTCGACGAATCTCACGGGTTTTGGAATTAACGACCATGTAAACCTCCAATAATCTTGAGGTTTGTGGGACTCGAACTAATGACCTTTAGGGAGCAAACTCAGGGCCTGACTAATTGAGTCACACCTCTCAAAGTTTATCTGCAAGAAAACTTGAATTAAAGGGTTAATGGACAAAGCCTATATATTTATAGTATCTCCTTTCATGAGAGAATTTTTTTAGATTAAATATAAAATTAATTAGGTCAGGGAAATGTAGTTGTTCACAAGGAGTTTCTATTCTTGAACAAGACATTTCTTAGGGAAGGAAGATATAGGAAAACATCTTACATGTGGGGAAAAGAAATTTACAAGTTATAGTTGCAAAGCAAGTGGGATGAGGGCACGTATTAGACTTTACTCCAATATCAAAGGGAGACATAGGGTTGATTTTTGTTTTCCTCGCCATTCATTCACAAATAAAAGTAGGAATTTTAGAGAGAGATGGAGCAAAGTTAGAGAGAAAAAAGTAGAGCGTTTGAATTTGAAGGTCTCAAAGAGAAGGGGTTGCATCTGAGTTTAGGACCTGAGAGGGGGCAAAAGCTTTTGAAAGAACCAAGTATTTAGAACAGAAAAGGAGGCATCCTGAGATACTGGTCTTCTTATCCTTACTTTGCAGCACTACTTGCTCATTGATGATGCTCTATACTACAGATGTTCCGAGGTGTCTTTATTTATTGTTGAATGCAAAGGGCTGGTTATTATTGGCCAACAATGACCATAGATGCATTACTACTTCAGAGCTTGCACCAAATTCTCATCATTGTTGGGCTCCGAGGAGTGCCATTTTTTGAGGAGCATGGGTGATTGGCATCATCCATATAGTGCCATTTACCCCCACCCCCATACACCCTTGAAGAAATCCTATATCTACAATTAGCGCACACATGATTTTGGCATATGGTTTAGGCTCAGTAGATGAAATATGTTTTAGTGCATTATATGCCATTTCCTTTTTCAGTTTTTTCCCTTTCTTTCAGCAGTATCTGTTTGTATATTATAAGAAATCCTACAAAAGCCTTTGATAAGATAGGCCGGATTGTCTTAGTATAGCCTACTTGTCTCTTGTATACGATATCTATTAGAAATCTAAAGCATAATTCTTTACGTGCTTGACTTTCGGGATGAGGTTTCTTTTATTCAGTTGCTGTAACTTAGGTTTGGTTTTATTTCAGGTACTTGCTCTTAAAGGATCCTACCATGGTGACACTTTGGGTGCAATGGAAGCACAAGCGCCATCACCTTGTACAGGCTTCCTCCCGCAGCCATGGAAGGAAATGCTTTGGTCTGATATGCTCATCTATGATGAATAAAAGCTATTTTAATTCATAAGTATCAATTTTTGGAGCTATGCTTTACTAATTGGTGCTCTTACACCTCTGAGTTTCATTGATGTTGAAACCATTCGTTTAGGATTGAAAAATTATTGGGTGATTAGCCAAATGGAAGTGGCTGTCTCAAAACAAGGTTTAGTCCTTATAAAAATACTCGAGAATGTGTTGCACATCATGTTTTTTTTTAAATTTAATGTTTTTATAAAAAAATTAATATTTTTATATATTTTGGATTGTTTTAATACGTTGATTTTTAAAATAATTTTTAAAAAAATAAAAAAAAATTATTTTAATACATTTTATCATAAAAAGTTCTTTAAAGGGTAATTGCAATCACTTTAAAAAAATACACAATACACGTAATGTTTAAAAAAATTGTTAATTTTTAATAAAATTGTTAATTGGATTGGCATAGCAAGCTAATTTAAAACACAATCAACTCGGGAATAGGCTAATTCAAGTTGAAAAAAAATAAAAGAATAATAAACTTGGATTTTAATATTGGGTTTACCCCTGTAAAACTTGATTCTTAGCTTCATTTTTTTGTTTAGATAATGTTGTTTTTATCATGAGATTAAACTCTGTTGGCCGGTGATTTATTCTATTTTGTGTCAGTTTCTAGAACTATCTTCTATAAGCATAATGAAAGAAAATTCGATTGTTTAAAATTTTATTTTAAAGTTGTTTTATTAAATTTCCAGTAAATGTATTCAATTTTTCAACAACATGATAAGAAAATTTTATATTGGAAGAAAGCAAAACCAACAGCTATGGTTACAATTTTCAAACAACACTAATTTGCTTTTAAGTTTTTTTACCACTGATTTTTTTATGATTTTGGAAAAAAAAAAAAAAAAGTCTCCAGTTTTCTATTAATAAAAAATGAAGAAAAATAAAAAAAGAAATGGGGGCCACATTATTTATTGATTAATGTTGTCCAAGAAAACTTGGCCCATTTTATCTCCAAAGCAACGCATGCAACATATAAAGTATAAAAGAAGCAAATGACGTCTGTAGGAGTGACGTCACTCGAGCGATAAAATACACGTTGATGTGACGTGGCAGGGATCACCTGAACCTTTTAAAATCGCACTATAGAAGCCTCTCACGGACGATAACAAAACTGAAGCAACAATCCAATGATGCACAGTACACTCTAGAAGCTTGAAAATATCAACCGGCAAATTATATTTCAGCCCCTGTATATTCTTCATTCTTTCACCTAGATTCCTATATTTTGTTAATTATTATTCATGTTGCTTACAAAATAAAATAAAAAATTACCTTGATTATCCTATAATTTAGTTTTTTTTACTTGCTTATTATATTTTGAAAAATTACAGTATACATCATGAATAAAAATTTTATTTGCTCGTAACATTCTAAATTCTCGCTTTGGTATAAAAAAGAGTTAGTAAAAATATTTAATTATTTACATGATTGATTTTATTTTGCATTTAATGATAAAATAACTCTTGAAATATTAATATTACAGTTAAACCATCAGACCAGCATTCTACAAATTGAAAAAAAAACAAAACTCGGTGTTTCATTAAACAACATTAAATTGTGGACAATCTTAATTGCCGGGTCCTGTTTTTTGATTGGTGCCATCAGGTGTAGTCCATTTTAAAAAACTCTGCCAAATCCTCCCTCGTCAATTAATTAAATATCCTCCTGTTTTGCTCCAGAACCAATCAATTAAATGAAATCCGTAAAATTCCTTTCTTTATATAAGGGAGAACTAAAGCATCATCAAAATCCTAGAAATTTGTGGCTACGGTATTAAAAACTATAATTTTAACACCAAGATTTGGATTCTGAATTTTAATTAAGTTATTAAATTAATTGAATTAATTTTTAAAAAAAATTAAAATAATATTATTTTAATAAAAAACAAAAATCAACAAGTTTATAAATAAGTCATCAGGTAAGCTCGCAGAGTCAAATTAGGTTTTTTTCCCTGATTTTTTTAACTTGATTTAATTTCAATTTCGAATGAACTAAATTTTATATCAACATATTTAGCTATACCAAATTTCAAAATTATATTCAAAATCTCCTCAACTCATGTTGGAGGAGAATAAACTGTGCGAGAAATTGATCTATAACAATAAATCTTGTATTTGATTTGACAATATGGTTCACAAAAAGAGAATTGTCACTCCAATGTAAAGAAGGTTAATCATGTATCGTTGGATTGATATTTTAAGTATATATAAATGAGAGTAATTTGAGTATTTTTTTATATTTGAGAATTTATATTGATTTTCTCATATTAAATAGGATGATTGAGAAATTCAAACATTAAATTAATTTTCTTATTGGAGGAAGTTGGTAGATTCAATTTAAAGATAATCTTCAACTAGTTTTGTGATGTTTTTTGTTTGAGAAATAAATTTGATTTTTCTATAGAATTACAACAATATATGCCTGAAAATTTGTTGTTTTCTTTCTTCTTTTTTTAGAAAATCTTTATTATGCGTTGAAATTCTTTATTCTTTTAAACAATATTTAAAGATATAAAGAATTGTATTTTATATTTTTACAATCATAAATTAATTTGAAAATAATCTAAATTTACGATAACGGTAAAATAAAGGGAAAATGGATTAAAAATACAAACTACTTTACAATTGAGAAAAATGTGACATTCTAGAAAACTATAATGAGAGGTGTAATATATAGAGGGTAATATAATATAGGTAACGCAATTAAATATGATTTTTCTTAAAAGATAAACAATAAAAATGAATTCCAGTATTGAAAAAAATAGCCATGAAAATGATTAAATTTATGGGTAATATATATATATACACACACACACCCATAAATTTTCTTGACAAAAAGCAACGCAATCTTGCAAATATAATGTTGAAACCTAAAAAAATAAGAATAATATTTTAAAAGAAAAGGAAAAGATATGATTAACAATATTACTCAAACTTAATTAACGCAACAAATTTATAAAAGTTATACACATAATTAAATCTGTCCACGTCATTGTATGATTAATATATTATTAATTATTTCTTTCCATAATTCTGATATAATAAATAACCATGTCAGCCCTAAAATACAAGTCATTACGTGAAACTCCGACAGTGGTTTTATATAAATCCACCAGCACAGATCTTAAATAAAACTCTTTAGTTTAGAAAGTTGCATAATCCACCACTGTCTTGGGAAGAGCGAGAGTCATGTGATTCAAAATTTTAAGATTTATTAAATTCTTGATATAATATTAGTTTAAAAGTTTAACCTACAATAATTTTATATTAACTCATTGATACAGCACATGGCTCTTTAGAATAATATAAATGTACAAAAGTGTCATGTGACTAGCTACTATACTTAAATTAAAAAAAAAAAACTTTAACCCATGTGGGTTTTTCATCATAGTAGTGGACATGATTTGCTGTTAATTCCTATAATAAAATTAGTTTTTTATACAGAGTTAAAAAAAAAAGAGTGTAATGATATAAAGAATATTTTGGTCTTTGCAATTCGTCCATTAGTAATTAAAAGGTTGTTTAGTGATATGGTGGTATTTTTTTTTTTTGCATAATGAAAATATGATTTTATTCCTAAATTTAACAACTTCTTAAGTCGTTGCCTAAAAATTATTTAGTCTTTTCAAAAACATCAAAATAGTTTAAATATTTATTTACATTGAGTTGTTAAGGGAGGGGTTTTTTTTTGTACTTTGAAATACAACAAAAATATTTTATACCATTCAAAAAATCAAAACTAAAAAACATATTTAGAGGTTTTTGTGTACTTTCATTATGATTTTTTTTTTAATTTTTAGATTCATGAAGGGTATTCAAATATTTTTATATTAAAAAATAATTATTTTATTTTAAAAAGATGTTAGAACATCACATTTACTCAATAGTAAATGGATGTTGTCTATAATTTTTGAATAGTATATACAAACACATTAAATGACCAAACACGTCTTTCTGTCATGTCATTTGATATGCCATTATATCTTCTTTTCTATGAGGTGGTGTATATCAGCGTTTTATGATTGATTTTTCGTTGGAGGTTATTTCTTTTGTTTTTCTTTTTTGTTTTCAAAGAAGATGCATTTTTGTCTTCTTTTCATTGAATTTGTCATTTTCAGCCTTTTTGTTTTTTTATAGTTTTTATTATCCCTTGTCATATTATAAAATTTCAGTTGTTTTCAATTTAGTCATTAAATTATAATTTATTTTATATATATATATATATTAATTTAGTCTTTGTTTTTTTTTTTTTGATTTTTTTCCCTTCAGTTTTTTTGTTGAAATTTTGTTAGTTTTTAATTTCATTATTCAATCAAAATTTATGTTTTTCTATTGTTTTTAATTTAGACCTCATTGTTTTTTTTATTTATTTTTGTTAAATTTTAATTTTTTTAAATTAGCCATCAAATTTAAAATTTTTTAATCCCTTCTAATTTATCTTTTATTTTAATTTTCTCGCCTATTTTTTAATCACAATTTTTGTGTGGTTTTTTTTCTTTCTATATATTCATCTTTCAACTCTTGATTTGATGGGAATGGATTTTAGAGCTTTTTCATTTGTAATACTTTCAATTTATTGACATGGATAACGAATTTGATAAGTTCAACAGTTTGGTTTTTTTTTTTCCAATGTCCTTTGCAATTTTAACATTCTTTATTATTTTTTTAAATTAGTTTTATGATTATTTTTAATTTATTCTCGGTCAATTTATCTTGATGTTATAGTGACCATGAGTTTTGCAGATCTTTTTTGAATAATATTTTTTGAAAATAATTTTTTGTATTTAATTTTTAAATAATTCCTTATATTTTTTACAAGTGAGCTTTATTTTATAAATAAATATTTATTCTCAAATACTATTTCTTATATGTTTGGTACTGCATGATAATTTCCATTTCATATTTGTTTTTTGTTTCTACTATCTTTTATTAATTTTAATTAAGTAAATCTAGTAGATATAAATAAATAAATATCTTAATTTACAGAATCAAATATATTGGTGTATATTTATCTCTAAATCTTTTTAATTTTTCTTTTAATTATTAATATTTTTTATTTATTTACATAAATAATTATTTATTTATTTAATTAGATATTTACACGTAACCTTTTGATTTATATTTTGAATTCATTTAGAAAATAACTTGCATAACTAGAG